AGCACCTGCCTGGCAAGCTCAAGGTTCTGAGTTCAATTCCCAGTACTGGGAAATAAATAAAAATAATATTAAAAAAATAAAAATTCTCACATTGCTCACAGAAGTTCTGAGTTTTCAGTATGACTTCTTTCATGTATGTAATAATGTGTGTGTGGCCTGAAGGAGATTTCATATTGGTCAAAAGCAAAGGATCTCCTCAGTCTTTCTCAGGTCTGAGTCACTTCATACATTCAGCTGTTGTATCCTCTCTTGATAATGTGCATGATGCTCACGGAAGAGGCTTTTCCTTACTGTACCTACAGACTGCCTCCCAGGTGTAACTTATGTATTTGCAAATGCCTCTGTGTCCTGAATGCACTCACACCTGGCTTCCATACACAGCATTTCAACAGTGTGTGTTCCTTAGTGTCTTTCACAATGACTGTGTGATCTGAAAGTTGGCTCACGTTGGTTGCATATAAAAGTGTACTCCACAGTGTGACTTCTTTCTTATCTTTGACAAACACATTGTGTGGTGAAAGTTTTTCCACACTGTTCACATACACAGTGTTTCTCCTGGAGTGTGAGTCCTTCTATATGCTAGAGAATGTCTGAGTGTGCTAAAGGCTTTCCCACCTTGCTTACATACATATTGATTCTCCCAGTGTAAGACCATATATGTGGTTGATAACGTCTGTGTTATCCGAAAGCTTTCCCACATTGCTAACACACAGGATTTCTCTTACTCTGGCTTCTTTCATATTCTTGACAAGTATCTTTTTCTGCTCAAAGTTTCTCACATAATCTCTGTGTGTGACAAAGGCTTTCCCACACTGCTTACTTACACAGGATTTCTCCCCAGTGTGAGTGCTTTCATGATTTTGCCAACTTTCTCATCTGCTGAAAGCTTTCCCACGTTGTGTACATACATAGGGTTTCTCCCTAGTAGGAGTACACTTACGATTTTGACAAGGGCCACTTGTGCTGAAAACTTTGCCACATTGCTTAGATGCGTAAGGTTTCTCCCCAGTGTGAGTCCGTTCATGTATTCGCCAGTTATCTTTTCTGTTGAAGGCTTTCCCACATTGGTTACATGCATAGGGTTTCTCCCCAGTGTGAGTCCGCTCATGATTTTGACAAACAACACTTGTGCTGAAAGCCTTCCCACACTGCTTACATACATAGGGTTTCTCCCCAGTGTGAGTCCTTTCATGGACTTGACGATTACTGTGATTGCTGAAGGCTTTCCCACACTGCTTACATATATAAGGTTTCTCCCCCCTGTGAGTTCTTTCGTGATTCCCTAATGAATTTGTAGTGAAGGATTTTCCATAGTTTTTATGGATATGGGTTTTTTCTCCAGAGTGAGCTTTTTGATGTGTCTGAATTTGGAGAGAATTAAAACTTTTATCCCATGGCACACATATATCCATATTCATCACACTGTGACATCTTTTCCCAATTTGAACACTGTGGGGTGTCATGAATGACATGACATCTGGCTTCTTCTCGAGGGTAGTTACTTCAGTGCAATCAGAGTAGGATTTCACACATGGCATATATTCACGAGCTTTCTCCACAGGACTTGTCTTTGCATATTTCTCAAAGGACTGCAGCTCTGTGCAGGCTTTGCCATGTTTCTCACGCATAGACAGCTTCTCTTGAAACCCCTGCTGCTCATGTGGTTTGAGTGCAGTGTTAGCTATGATGAGTCCATCTGCTGCTGAAGGACCAACCCGGAGCCTCCTACAGGAAAGGCTGTCACCGGGTTTTATGCCAAAAGCTTTCATGCGCACACTGGTACCTGAGGTCTGAGAAACCGTGACACGATGTTGGTACTGTAATTTACATTGAGGGGATTTCTCCGCCTCCTCACCTCTGTAAAAGGAAAAGTTACAAAACAACCAATCACATTTAATGTCTTCTAGTAAGGGTTCATCTTGAGGAGATCTGCTTTGATGCCCCCAAGGAGATTTCATCATCCTCTTATTGTACACTCTGCATGATGGCTTGGACCCAGCTTTTACCCAAACAGTAGGATCCACTGGGTGTTTATAATTGACCCACTCAAAAAACACAGTATCTACTTTCATTTTGAGGACTTGGAACCTATCTTGATGAAACATGTTCCATGTACTGAGGATCTGTGATACCTTCTCCTCTATGACTCCATCCCCCCGTCCCCTGGGCCTCCTCACCCACGCCAGTGTCCGCCTCTCTCCTTACCACCATCCATCCTGTTTACTCCTGCATTCACGCTGTGGGATTCTCACGCGAAATATAACTTGGGATTTTGAGTTTTCTCTCTGACTTACTTGATCTCACATTATAGGCTCTAGACCCATCCATATTCCAGCAAATGCCCTCTCGTCATTCTTTAGTGTACAAATACTGCACCATTATGTGTACACACCCCATTTTTTCAGTGCTGGAAACTGAACTCAGCATTCTACCACTGAGATACATTGACATGCTTTTTAATTTTTATTTTTAAATTTTTGTTTTTTTTCCGGTACTGGGAATCAAACTCACGACCTTGCACTTGCCAGGCAGGTGCTGTGCCGCTGTGCTAAATCCCCAGCCCCTTTAATTTTTATTTTGATACAGAGTCAACAATCATTACATGGCCCAGGCTGAGCGTGAATGTATGATCTTTCCACTTCAGCTTCCTAGACTATCAGAATTCCAAGCAAGCCCCCTTATGCCCAGGCTAACCCATATTTCCTTAACCAACTCATTTCTGAATGGGCATTTAGGGTTTTCCCAGAGCTTAGTTTTTCTAAGTTGTGCTACTACAAATGGGTATTTAAGCACCACTGTTTTGTTTTTTGTTGTTGTTGTTTTTTGGTCTTTTTGAGACAGGGTCTTGCTGTGAAGCTCAGGCTGGCCTTGAGCTCACTCTGTACCCCAGGCTGGTCTTGAACTCGCAACGATCCTCCTGCCTCAGCCTCCTGAGTGCTGGGATTACAGGTGTGCGCCACCACGCCTGGTTTAAGCACCAGTCTTATATGATTACTTTGACACTGTGGGGAATATATGCAGTAAAAGTACAGCTGGATAAAACAAAGTATCTATATTTCCTTTTCTGTGGAATCTCTGCACTCATTTTCATAGGTGTTGTAGCAGAGATAGTGCCACCAATAGCATGGGGATGCACCTTCTCATATTTTAGAACATGAAGCAACAGTGGGATTTGAAGGAGTGCCTGAAAATAAATTAATCAAAACAGTGGTATTCACTTTCAGATTCAGTATGTCCACAATATTAGCAATTTTTAAACACTGAATATGTACATTAAACTACATAATCACATACAATTTGTTTGATATGAAAGTACACTGGATTTTTAAAAACATGTGGATGTATAATTAGATGTTAGCACTCAGTGTAAAATTTGTTCTATATCCTCCTGTTCTCAATGCCTGAATGCAGTTTCATTTCAGATGTCTATAAATTTGAGCATGGAACACAATTTGTAATTTTAAAATTTTTATTTCTTTTTTATTGCAGACAGGGTCTCACTCTATAGTTGAGGCTGGCTTTGAACTTACTATGTGGCCCAGTCTGGCTTGGAACTTGGGGCAGTTTTCCTGCCTCAGCCTCCTGAGTGCTGGGATGACAGGTGGGTCCCAACTTGCCTGGCAGTTTGTTCTTGTACATTACCTCAAAGATGTCAGTTCTGGCATAATGTGAGTACCAACTACATTTCAGATACTGGGACATTTCCAACACTCAATGGTCAGACTGGAGATAGTCAATGTGTATACGTCCATCGAGAAATTTTGTGAGACTAATGAAGTTTGAACGTGGTCTTGTTTGTGTAGTTTGCTTGGGCTTAATAGTCTGACATGTGAAGAAATTTCTTCTCTAAGTACAAATTACCTTAGATTTTTCCTGCAATTTCTGCACTCATCTTGAATGTGCTGATCATCTGAGTTCCTTCCTAAAGTACAGAAACAGAATAATGTCTTACTACACATAGAAAGTCAGTAGATTCCACTTTGATTCATGGTCCAATGTAGCCATGACTGGAAGATGCATCATAACATTTCCATCTTCCCATTAAGGAAACAGCACCAGTGAGCACCACTCAGCACTCTCCGGGTGTGTAAGTGAGAAAACAGCGTCGTCCTTACCGACAGCAGCCAGGTTCCTAAGAGTTTCCCACATCACTTCTCTGTAGAGCTCCTTCTGGGATGGATCCAGCCGAGCCCACTCCTCCCTGGAGAAGTTCACAGCCACATCCTCGAAGGTCATGGCCTCCTACATCACCAGACAGGCATTTCCAGGAAGAAGAGTGGGAGTCACAGCAAGAAACATCTCAATGCTACTCACAAAAAGCTCATATGACGCTGAGTTTTCCAGATCTGTACTTCATGTCTGGTCATCAAACATTTATTCTCCATCCATTTGTACTCATCACACAGCAAGTTAGATGCTATACCACAATTCAGCGCTCAAGTAACAGTGGAATGGGAACACTGCTCCCCCTGTCGGTTATACCCAGGTTTACTTGTGCAAGGTCACCAAACATGGGTTATAGAAGGAGTCTGCAAATTAGACTCCAAGTGAAAATAGTAAAGTAGGTAAATATCTGAAAAAATACTCTAAAGGGTCGAAGAAAATATCTTTTTTCTCAAGTTAATGCTGAAGGAAGTGACCCCTTCTTTCTCTGATTCTACTTAGACAGCATTTTGAAATTTTAATCTGCTTTCATAGACAAACCTGCTTTCGCAGAAGTTATTAGAATAAGAAGGAAAATTAGGAGACAGTATTTGCTTAACTGAACAGTAAGCAAAATTTATGAATGATAACTTGGAAAGCTAATGAAAACCACTGCACTTCCTACTGGAGAACATCTAAGAGGTGTGAAATTAGAGAAGCCATGTTACCCTATGGCTCAGTGACCCGAAAGGCGGCATAAGGGAGCGAAATGGGGGTACGCATATGATGAAAATGCACATGAAATGTACTGACCACAAATATTTTGAGAGCTCTACAGGCACTAATAATGAAAGGAAAAATGAAAGAAAAAATGTTAGCTATCAAATACACCTGCAAATGTGAGAGCTCCTATGGTAATGAAACACATAACCGACAAAAAAAAGCCCAGGTCCTGATAGATTCACAACTGAATCTTATAAGGAAATTAGAGAAGATTTAATGCCAAAACTCCTCAAACTTTTAATGACATTGAAAGGGAAGCAATTCTCCCTAACTCATTCCTGCAGGCAAGTACTAGCCTGATACCAAAACCAGAAAAAGACCCAACCCAAAAAGAGAACCACAGATCTATCTCCATAATGAACACAGATGCAAAAATCCTCAATAAGATACTAGCAAACAGAATTCAACAAACCATCAAGAAGACTGTACACCACGACCAAGTGGGACTCATCCCAGGAATGCAATGCTGTTTCAAGATACACTAATCCGGGGCTGGGGACTTAGCTCAGCGGCAAAAGCACCTGCCTGGCAAGTGCAAGGCCGTGAGTTCGGTTCCCGGTACCGGAGAAAAACCCAAAAAAACAAAACAAAACAAGATACACTAATCCATAAATGTAATACACCATGTCAACAGACATGAAGATAAAAATCACCTGATCATCTCAACAGATACAAAAACAGCTTGTGATAAAGTTCAACACTCATTCATGATAAAAACCCTAGAGAAAATCAGAATCAATGGTCTTTACCTCAATTTATAAAAGCCATCTATGACAAACCAACAGCCAACATCATATTAAATGGACAAAAAATGAAAGCTTTCAATCTAAAATCAGGAACGAGACAAAAATGTCCACTATCACCACTCCATTTCAGTATAGTTCTGGAAACACTAATGAGAGCAATTAAACTAGAGAGAGAAATAAAAGGAATAAGGATAACAAAAAAGAAGTGAAATTATTATTTACAGATGATATGATACTCTACGTAGAAGACTCCAAAAACTCCACTAAAAACTGCTAGAATGAATAAATTCAGTAGCATAGGTGGATACAAAGCCAACACTCAAAAATCAATAGCATTCCTGTACACAAACAACAAACTCACTGAGAGAGAAATAAAGGAAACTACACCCTTCAGAAAAGCATCTAAGATAATGGAATTGGAAGGAATAAGTCTAACAAAGGAAGTTAAAGAGCTATACACTGAAAGTATCAATACTCTGAAAAAAGAGATAAAAGAGTATTTCAGAAAATGGAAAGATATTCCTTGCTTATGGATAGGAAGAACCATCATGAAAATGGCCATACTCTCAAAACTGTTATACAGATTTAATGCAATCCTGATCAAAATATGACTAGCATACCTCACAGACCTACAGGAAACATTCCTAAAATTCATCTGGAAATAGAAGAGACCTAGAATCCAGGGCAATAAAGGCAAGGTAAGAGTCATGATGATACCAGACTTGAAATTATACTACAACGCTACTGTGATAAAATCAGCGTGGTACTGCCAAAAACCAGATCTCAGGATCAGGTGAACAGATTAGAAGATGTACACACAACTACAAACACACTCAGACACCTTATCTTTGACAAAGGGGCCAAACATGTTCACCGGAAGAAAAACAGCCTCTTTAATAAGCAGTGCTGGAAAAACTTGCTTTCCACATGCTGAAGACTAAAACTAGACCCATGTCTATCACCATGCTCTAAACTAAAGTCAAAATGGATCCAAGATCTAAATATTAAAACAGAAACACTAAATCTACTGGAAGAGAAAGTAGGTAGAAATTTTGAAGACATAGGTATAGGTATAGAGTACATGAAGAAAACCCAAACTGCACGGGAAATACTTCAAAGAATCAACAACTGGGAACTCATCTTATTGAAAAGTTTTTGCACATCTAAAGAAATCACCAACAGATTGAAAAGAAACCCTATGGACTGCAAAAGGAATTATAGCCAAATATCCCTCAAAGTACTTCTATCTAAAGCATATAAAGAATTGAAAAAAATCAGGCCCCCAAATTCAAAGACCCAATCCAAAAATGGGAATCTGACATGAATACACACTTTTCAAATGAAGAAACAGAAATGGCAAATAAATATATGAAAAATGTTCAGCATTACTGGTCATTTGAGAGATACAAATTAAAACAACACAGAGATTGCATCTCATCCCAGAATAATAGCTATCATCAAGAAATCAACCAAGGGGCTGGGGATTTAGCTCAGCGGCACAGCACCTGCCTGGCAAGCACAAGGTCGTGAGTTTGATTCCCAGTACCGGTGGTGGTGGTGGGGGGAACCCCAACAAAATAGAAATTCCTTCCCATTCTACTTCAGTGATGATGCCCACCCTATTATTAAACCTACAAGCCAGTTTCCTAATTTCAATTTTGCCTCACACATGACTAGATAAACTGATCAATAACACTGCAAGACATATTGAGCATCTGTTACTAGGTTCCCCTGCCTTCTTTAGGCCTTTGACGTCTGACCCACTCTCAGGCCAAGGCAGCTCACAATCCTTCAATTACTGTCACACAGAGAACAATCTGATCTCAGGGGGAGGAGGTCACTGTTGTCATTGCTGATTTTTCCTTCCTCTTGCAAGCTCAGGTCCCCCAATTCCTGTTTCCTCCCCTTAGCTCTTCATTATTAAAAAATCCCTTTTCTTCCTAATCATTCTTGTGCCTGGAGACAGTCAAACTGGGGACACAGCTCTGCTTCAGTGCTTGTTTTATAGAGTCCACCTCAGTCAACAGTTCAGTTTTACATCAATGTCTGGAAACAGTGCAGGGACGACAGCAATGACTCCAGGGACGACAGCCTGTGCCCTTCCCTCCACGGCCAGTATCACATGTCCCTGTCCATGCTGATGCCCCAGGTCAACGTGTGTCTCAGTTCGAGTTTAACACGCAGCCCTTTCTGAAAGTTGTCCTTAGCAAGAATCCTTTCCCCTCCCTTGGTGTTGGGTATGAATTCTCTGGTGTCACAAACAGGACAAAAGAAAGTAAAGTTTCAAAAGGTTCTCAGCAAGGTGAACTTTCCTTCTGCAGAAGACAGCACAGCTATACAATGACAAGCAAGCATGCTGAGCAGGCTGCCTTTTATCCCTGAAGCACGCTGTCATCGCACCAGTGGTGGGAGTGGGGCCTCGTGGTCTAACCCAATTGGCTACACTAATGAGATCATCATTTTTAGGCAAATTCTGTGATCTAGAAAGCCCTTGGTTGCAAAGTTTTACAGCAGATCCACAATCAAATACCCACAGATAGGGTTAGAAGAGGGACTGGCCCTCTAAAAAGTAGAGTAGACACGGCCTTTGTGTCACAGCCAGGAGTGGGGCTGACAGCCTACAGTTGTACACTCGTGTCTGTGTAGCTACAGCCTGCTCCTTTAAGCTCCCTTCAACAAGCTCGCTTTCCCAAAATGAGCTGCTAAACCAGTTGCTGGAAAGTTCCCCTCCAGCCCACCAAGCCCAGCCCCTGGCAACAAGTCCAATAACCCATCACACCGCGACCTCTGGAGGGGACTGCACCCCAGATTTTTTTGTGACTCAGCTCTGACTGTCCCCACTCCTCTCGCAAGGTGGCTTTGTATTGCTTCTTGCACTAATAACTGCAACACCGTTTTGCTTGGCGCTGGTCTTCCCTGACCCTCTTTCTCTGTTTTGTCAGAGAGAGACAAGCCCAGCCAGGGCGGGTCTGCAGACCCAAGACCCAGAGCCACCGAAGCGAACAGTAACAGCCTCCTTTGGGGTCCCGACCTCACTGCACAGTGGTGTGAGAACATGAGCTATATGCTTTACTGCTGCCTATAAGTCTCTGACATAAATAAGGTGATAATTATCGGGCTTGCTGCGTGTGCAAGGCAGGAGTTCGCTGCATGCTTCGGAAGCACCGCTCCCGAGTCACGTCATCTAAAATGTTTGTTAGGCATTTCTTGGGATCCTCGTCGCCCTTATCACCATTATCAGGTTGGCAATGTGGAGAAATGGAAACTCAAGAATTCACTGTGAGTGGAAAAAGGCAGAGGTCTGAGGTGCGGGGGTGTGAGATCCTGCAATCCTGGGACACACCGCTCCCCAGTCACACCGCCTGTACTGCTGAGCCTTTGCTGGGATTCTCACGGCCCTTATCAACATGCATTATGAGGACGGCAGTGAGGGGAAGTATTGGAAATTCAGGAATTCACTGAGTAGGAAAAGGCGGAGGTCTGAGGAGCGCGGGTGGGTGTGACATCCTCATCGCAATGAGGGGAAGTATTGGAAACTC